GAGGCTTTAAGACAGAGAAAAAACACACACACACACACACACACACACACACACACACACACACACACACTTTTTCCCTTTTTAAAAAAACACAAAGATCTTACTGAAATGTGCTGGTGTAGTCTGTATGTTTGGTAAAATCCCATCATGGATGCCCCTCATCCATGCCAGTGAACTGTTATGATGGCAAGGGTACTAGTTAGTGGCCCACAGGCAGCCCTGCCACACCTCATCTAAGTAAGCCCTTATATATGGATGTAAAGGTTGTTTCACTTTTGATGTAATTTTTAAGTGAGAGATGATGTTTCTGGGAAGAAATTTATACATAGATCTTTAAGCATTTTCTGGGTTAAAAAATACACTTAACAGGGGCCACACCTTACTCACTCTTGCTAGATTCAAATGTGGGGAAGGATATATTCTTGATTATAGCTCACCTAGTTTCTAAGCTTTGATAAGTTCAGTTTCCTTTCTTGGAGGCTCAGAAAGGAGCTCCAGCATGAGAGGGCTGAAGTCCCTGCACAGGGTGACAGGGAAAGGGCTGTCACCGCAGAGCAGCCCACGGGCCACTCTCCCTGTTTTGTCCTGAACACAGGGATGTCAATTGCTTCTAAGGTGGACCAGCCAGCCTCTTTGCCTAGAGGTGCTCTGGAGGTGCTTGTATTCTGAGTTGACTCAGGGGCGACAATCCCAACCAGAGCTTAGGTGTCCCAACTCCAGCCTTCCTGCATCCTTCCCTGACCTTCCTATTGCCATTTTGCTATCGGGAAGGAGTGGAGAACAGTTTGGGAAGGAGTCTAGAATAATGGGCACCATGCTCTTGCTTAGGAGCCTATTTGATGTTCTTTGGGGCCTTAGGGGTTCCCAGTAGGGACTTGTGTCACTGTTCACTTAGGTCACAGGCTTGAGTTGCATTGTAACGTGCTTCCTGCCTCAACTCTCTCTGTCCTTAACCTGCTTCGGGTTGTCTTCCTGGCCACTGTACTATATTGTACTATACAGAATAGTGCTCCCCCATTCATGTCTACTGGGACCCCAGAAAGTGACCCTTAGGATAGGGACTTTGCAGATGTAGTTAGTGAAGGATCTTGAGATAAGATCCTCCTTTGTTTAGAGTGGACCCTAAATCCAGTGTCCCAGTCTTCACAAGATAAGGAAAGGACACAGGGCACAGAGAAGAAGAGTGTGGAAAGATGGAGGCAGACTCCAGAGGAATGCTGCCACAAGCCAAACTCAGCTCTGCTCCTTAGACCCCTTCAGACGTTCCTATTGCTTCTTCGAATGCTTCCTTAGTCCGGCTCCCAATTCAGTTTAGAGACAGGCTCCCTTCCCCTTCTGTCCAACTCCAATGACATCGTGTCTGTCCACACCCTGAGCTTCCTTCCATCCAATCTTCTGCTCTAAGTCCCCATTCTACAGACACAGAAATAAAGACCAGAGAAAGCTGGTGACTCACCCTCAGCTCTGCAGCTGGGGGCCTTTGTGACACTTCTTTATTCAGTGCAGCTGCCAGCTGCAGGAGGCTA